ATTTTTAGGGTGCGGGAATGCCGGAACCGCGCTCACCTTTTTGGCCCAGGGGTAGCGGATGTGGGGTGAGCCCCACTCGTGGCTGAGCTCGTGGCGGTGCCCGTGGCATTTGGGGATGTAGGAGCAGCTGACATCGCCCACCTCGGGGTAAATCACCTCCAAATCGCCCCTGGAGATGGGGAAAAGGGAGCGGGGTCAGGGCTGGGGGGTGGGATGGGGATGGAATTGGGGGTTGGGGTATAGGATTTGGGTCAGGATGGGGCTGGAATTGTGGGTTTGGGGGTGCGGGGTCTGGGTTAGGGTCAGGATGGGGTTGGAATTGTGGACAGGGAGGTGTGGGATTTGGGTCAGGCTCGGGATGGGGCTGGAATTGTGGACAGGGGGTGTGGGATTTGGGTCAGGCTCGGGATGGGGCTGGAATTCTGGAAAGTGAGGGGTCCATGTCAGGCTCAGGATGGAGTTGGAATTCTGGGTTGGGGATCTGGATCAGGCTCGGGATGGGGCTGGAATTCTGGGTTAGGGGTGAGGGTCAGGGTCAGGATGGGGTTGGAATTGTGGGTTGGGTTGTCGGATTTGGGTCAGGCTTGGGATGGGGCTGGAATTGTGGGTTTGGGGGTGCGGGGTCTGGGTTAGGGTCAGGATGGGGTTGGAATTGTTGGCTGGGGTGCAGGGTCTGGGTCAGGCGCAGAATGGGGTTGGAATTGTGGGTTGGGGGTGAGGGTCAGGGTCAGGATGTGGCTGGAATTGTGGGTTGGGGTGTGGGATTTGGGTCAGGCTCAGGATGGGGCTGGAATTGTGGGTTGGGGGTGCGGGATCCGGATCAGATGCAGAATGGGGTTGGAATTCTGGACAAAGGGGTGTGGGATCCCAGTCAGGCTCGGGATGGGGCTGGAATTCTGGGTTGGGGGTGAGGGTCAGGGTTGGGATGGGGTTGGAATTTTGGCGGGTGAGGGGTCTGGGTCAGGCTCAGGATGGGGTTGGAATTGTGGGTTGGGGGTGCAGGATCCGGATCAGATGCAGAATGGGGTTGGAATTCTAGACAGGGGGTGTGGGATCCCAGTCAGGCTCAGGATGGGGTTGGAATTCTGGGTTAGGGGTGTAGGATTTGGGTCAGGATGGGGTTGGAATTCTGGGTTAGGGGTGAGGGTCAGGGTCGGGATGGGGCTGGAATTCTGGAGAGGGGGTGTGGGGTCCAGGTCAGGCTCAGGATGGGGCTGAAATTGTGGACCGGAGGGTGGGATCCCAGTCAGGCTCGGGATGGGGCTGGAGTTCTCAGTTGGGGTGCAGGGTCAGGGTCAGGATGGGGTTGGAATTGTGGGTTGGGGTGTGGGATTTGGGTCAGGCTCGGGATGGGGCAGGAATTCTGAGTGGGGGATTCAGGATTTGGGTTAGGCTTGGGATGGGGCTGGAATTCTGGGTTGGGGGATCCCAGTCAGGCTCGGGATGGGGCTGGAATTGTGGACGCGGGATTTGGGATTCAGGCCAGGCTCGGGATGGGGCTGAAATTGTGGACAGGGGGGTGGAATCCCTGTCAGGCTCAGAATAGGGCTGGAATTCTGGTTTTGGGGTGTAGGATCCAGGTCAGGCTCGGGATGGGGTTGAGATTCTGGAGAGAGGGATGTGGGATCCCAGTCAGGCTCGGGATGGGGTTGGAATTCCAGGATTGGATTGGGGAAGGATCCAATTCACTTCCACCAGGGCTGTAATAAGGCAACCACAGGTTCTGATCCCACTCCCAAACATCAGCGGGAA